TTTTAAAAAAACCTGATAATTGCGTGAGGCGAAAGTGTGAGCTTTGTACAAAATACAAGTATAAGAATTAGTTACCTTCGACATGGTGGTTGCTCTGTTATTCCCATTTTTGGGGACAATTTAGAAAAATGACGGCAATTTTTTTCGTGCATGGGACACATAATTTGTATCATCTGCATCCCTTTTAAAAAAAATCAGTCTTTTCAAAGAACGAAACCGATATATATATATACATCATCGACCAATTATGACGTGTTTGTTCTAGACAAAACTTTTATATAGGTTGGTGGAATTTTTTATATATTTTTTACGATATTCAGAATTTCACAAAACTTAATGTGTAACGCGGGACAAGGAAATAATATTCAAAAATGAAGGTTTTATTGATTTTTACTTAATGAAAATAGTCTGTTACATATACAAAATTGCAATATTCTGAAAGTAGAATTTAAAAGCTTTAAAATGATACATAATACTTCAGAATATCAATTTTATTGTTTATAAATTAATGACATGAGTGTGTCTTGTCCACGATTTCATCAAAATAACACCAGTATCGTGCGACGTTTCTTAATCGTTTTTATACGACCGCAAAAAAAGTACGTTCGTATATTGCTATCACGTCGTCGTCTTCCGAAGACATTTAGTTTCCGGAAAATAACTTTAGTTTAAGTGTACGCATCTCTATGAAATTTTACCTAAAGGTTCAATACCACAAAAGGAAGGTTGTGTTTGTTTATGGGGGTGATGGTCACATCCGTATAGGAAAAAGGGGCCAAAAGGGGGCCCAAAACAAGCATTTTTCTAGTTTCAGGACAATAACTTGTGTTTCAGTATTTTGATTGCTCTAAAATTATACTACAAGGTTCAATACCATAAGTAGAAGGTTGAGATTCATTTTGGGGCTAATTGCCCAAACCGTTCAGGAATTAGGGGCCAAAACAAGCATGATTCTAGTTTTCAGACAATTATTTGTGTTGAAGTGTATGGTTGTCTCTTGAATTGTACCACATTTTACAAAAAAACAAAACTTCTTTAAATATTATTTTTTTGAGGGGAAGGGTACAAAATTTTTTTTGGGGGGGGGGGGGTCAATTTTTTTCCCTCCGAAGATTTAAGAAATTATCAATCCCCCCCCAAAAAAAAATTGGGGGTCACAATTTCTTTTGCTAATTCTTGGTATATAGTCTGAAAACAGATTTACTAAGTATTGCGCAACAGCACTGTGTATTGCACAATAGCAAGAAATCTTTATTTGAATATAAATTCAAATCACATAACCAATTTCAATAAATTCATAAACCCGACATAGCCGTGTGTTAGGAACTTATATAGATATAAGAAGATGTGGTATGAGTGCCAATGAGACAGCTCTCCATCCAAGTCACAACTTGTAAAAAGTAAACCATTAGAGGTCAAAGTACGGCCTTCAAGACGGAGCCTTGGCCCACACCGGACAGCAAGCTATAAAGGACCAAAAAAAATAAATGAAACAGGAAAACCAACGGTCTTATCTATATAAAAATCGAGAAACAAGAAACACTTATCAACAAACGACAACCACTGAACAACAGGTTCCTGACTTAGAACGTCTTGGTCAATTTCTCTACGGAGTAGTTACTTCAACGTTTTATTGCACATCATTATCATTATTGAACTCGATAGGTTTGTATAAACTGTTTCGCGATGACGAATTTGCGGTCGAGCTGGCAACAAGTGTTGCGGAAGCGAGACACTACAATCCATCAGTTGTGGGACGTTCTCGTCCTCGATATCTTCGGTGTCGTAAACATAGGTTCAGTCTATCGTTTAAAAAAGGGCGTCTTCGAACCGACATGAAATTTTTCGACATTGCACTAAAGACCCGTAGTCACTATTCAAATTTTCTTTGTCTAAGAATACTTGGTCCAACTTTTTGAAAGATTAAATTTGTTCTTATGACAACAGTTGACTGTGAAAAATACTGATGACAAAAACTTTCACGGACTTTAATGGAATAGAATCTCATTCGAATTTTCTTGAAACTTTGTTGTATTTTGACGGGAATCAGCCCATCATGGTGTTGTTTAGAAATTATCAATATTTTGTTCACAAAACAAAAGTACATGGCAAATTTATCGGAAATGGTAGAATGAGTTCCAGTAAAAAGAAAACAATGTGGAGAAATAAATCGATATATGAATGTGAATTTGTAGAATGTATTTTGACCAATGGTTCGATCTGGCCAATAGCAGATTGAATGTCGCTTTTTCAATTTCAAAATAATTCCTTAATTCGACCTCGGAGATCTTCAGTGTGAAGTTCTTGAAGGATTCTGTTCGGTACTACTCTGCCTTCTTCTTAGAAGCCAGTTTCTTCTTCCCGTTTTCGTTACTATTTTACGATTAATCCTTCACCTTCTCTAAATGATAATACACAGTGAAAAGTTTATTAGAGCCATATTTCTTCAAGTAAACATGGAAATCCCGCCTTTTAAAAAGAAAATTATGAAAAACTTTGATGATGACATTGAACAGATGACTTTGACCAAGTTTTCTTGTTCAAATTTTCTTTTTCGAAGTTTTCTTGTTCATAGTTTTCTTTGGCCAAGTTTTTGATGGAAGACTTCGATAGTCACAACAGGGTTTCAGTCAGAAAATTGTATTCTTCATCTTGGTTTTATTCGTTTTTTATTAAATTGAAACGATTTATTTAATGATTAAAAGGTTTTCGCACATATATAACTTTGTCAAACCTTCATGGAAATTTATGACAGAACTTTGACAGAAGTTTGCTCATGATTCAAAAGACAGTATCCAGAGCAAAATTTTGAGACATTTTTCCCTTTCATTAATGGACTAAAATAATTTGGAAGTTAACATTTAGATACATATTTTGGATGAAGTTTATTTTTTCACATCAATATTTTTTTCAAACCTTCTTAGAATATTATGAAGCTTGGACAGAAGCTATTGTATAATCAAGAGTCAAAATCTGAAGCAAATTTTGAAAATATCATTTTTTCATTTACCGGTTATTCACTGTTTTTACAAGCTGAAATATTACTCGTGTTCTTAATCTACAGCAAATCTAATTTTTGGTATGATTGATTAAGAAAATATACAGCTCATTATATATATCTGCCAAAAAGTTGCTCCCAAACTTGGATGAAATATGCGTCAAATGGAAGGACACATTTGTTTTCATCTCTTTAATATTGACCAAACACTAGCAATAAAACCACGTGTCTCAGATTTTTGAAATATTGATTTAACTGCTGGGTACCAAAACTCATAATGTTCACCTTTCATTTTTTTCGAGACCAATAAATTCATTCAGAAACATATTATCCAATAACTGGAACACGCTGTTGTAGAAAATACTCGCTTTTACAACATACATCAAAGCCAAACCATAGGGGTCACCCATAAAGTTTCTTTTTTTTTCATTTTTTGATCACAATTCCTCTGGGAACACCCCAGAAGCGTCTTTAATCATTTATCTTATCAATAGAACCACACAATACGTGAACACAACAGGGGCCCAGTTTAAGTGACCAACGCATGTAATTAATATTTAACAGCATTCTCACTATGAAATAATAATTATCATTCATATTTAAAAAGAAACAGGTTGTACTGTGAAATAAACAAGGACACAGACACTTTAAAATGTCTCGAAAAATGTACATGTATAAGAGAAGAGATATTTTCATACAACATACTGTCCTCTCCAAAAATAAAACGAAAATTTAGTTAAAAAAAATCACTATTATCAAGGTTATTTGTCTAGAATAATAAGTGTTGTGAATGTCGCTGTCAGATTCAGATACAAATTCTTCTTGCCTTAGAAAGAACATTTGTCAGAGTTTTTTTAAAACTAATCTTACACTTAATATTTATCTATAAATATATGTTTTCACTTAAGATTTTTCCCTCTACAGTTTTGTTCGCTTATATTTTCTTTGGTTACCTGCAGTAGCGGATCCAGAAATGTACATAAAAGAGGGGGGGGGGGGGGGGCACTGACTGTCGCAGAGGAGGCCCGCTCCAGTCATGCCTCAGTGATTCCCTATATCAACAAAAATTTTCCCACAAAGGGGAGATCCGGGCACCCTCCCCCCCCCCCCTTAATCCGCTTCTGCCCTGCATAGTTGTATAAATTAATTTTCATTGCGATTTAATAAGATATGACCAAGTGGTCAGAGATTAACAGCTGGGCAATTGGTATCAACAGGTGATTAAAGGATTAGCTTCCCCCAAATGCTGGTATATATATACAAGTTTTTACCATGTGCTTTTATTTACATAGTTTATTATTTTACTTTTACGTATTTTACTGAAAAAGAAACTGTTTGGCAGTCAGCATTGTCCTTTTGCATTGATAACATCTACCACAGGTATTGCATAATTAATGTGGCGTATTTTCGTTTTATCACAGACTTCGAGATACATCTTTTTGGAGTAGAATTTTAAACATTAATTTAATGATTATTAACACCAATGTATATGCTAATTGATTCCAGGAAACAAAACAAAAACCAATTGTTAATAAAAGTTTGGGGATTTGGTGTAAAAATTTAAATCATTTTTTTCTTCTGATAAACATCTTTTTGTATTAAAGATTGCAACTAAGGTCAATTTAAGAATCACTAATTTTGAGAATCAATTTTTTTAACTAGGATTTCAGAAAATTGGTTTGACAGTAACGTATGCTACAAAAAATTGATTCACAGTGTCAAATTAGCGATTAGAGCTTGCTTTTGATGAAAAATTGCAATCTTTATACGGCTCCTAAAAATGCACAATGAATACATGGCGCTTGCATTTAATATGTTTTTTACGCAAAATGTGTCCTTCGTGTATCCTGAAGCATGAATTAATATGAAAATAAGGAGATCTGCATGGTAATTTGTTTGGATCCTATATTAGTTATTTGTCTCTGTGACTCGTATACAAATGTGTATATGTTCCAAACATTACATGTACTTTTTTTAAATTGATTTAGTTATTGTATTTCAGGTTACCAAGATGATTTCGATGAGAAGGCTGGCCAGGTGAACAATCTATACGAACTCAAAAGATAGGTAATCCTTATAAATCACTTTCAAATGGAAAACAAACAGAAAGCATAATTGTACAACTATATTTGTTGAATATTTGTATATTTATATTTTGATTCCTTTAAAGCTCCACATAATTTCTTGTTTGTTTTTTACCTGGCAGCTCTTAAATATTAATTTCTTTAAATAGTAACTCTTTTGTTCTTATCTTCTGTTTTCTTAAAAATAACAGTCAGATACTAAATGTGTTTACAAAACTGATCATCATCAAAATTCATTTACAGGGCAATTTATGGAAGCATATTTGTCGTCTGTGGTTGAAAATATTACTAGGTAACAAAGCAGCTGGAAAAGAAATTTTGATAAATCGTATTGTTATACTTGAATATCGCTTTTCTTCGTACATCAGACCACAACAAGAAGACCCGACCCCTACGAGAAAATACATGTACACAGACAAAAAGCAGAACACAACACACATAGTCTGCATAGTTGCATATATACCAACTTTAAAATAACTTTCCTAGTATCTTTGTAGAGGCACTAGTAATGTGTTCTAATCAAAGAATATATTTCCATACAGACAAAGGTGCTTGTGGTTCATTACTGTATCTTAAAGTGAATGACCGTCATGATCTCATTGCTTATGGAGGGTGTTTGCCAATATCTCAGGATATGTGTCTGTCAAGATCGCGATGCTTGTGGTGTATGCATATATCTCAAGTGAGTTACCGTCAAGTTCTCGATGCTTGTGGTGTATGAACATCTTTATGTTGAGTGACTGTCAAGTTATCGGTGCTTGTGGTGTACGAACACGTCTCAATATAAGTGACTGTTAAGTTCTCGGTGCTTCTGTTGTTTTACTGTTTCTCCAGACGAGTGTTTGTCAAGATCTTGGTGCTTGTGTTGTTTTACTGTTTCTCAAGATGAGTGACTGCCTAGATCTCGATGCTTGTGGTGTATGGATATACTCCAAAATAAATGATTATCAGAATCTGCTTTGAAGTTAATGTTTCTCAATATGAGTGACTGTAGAGATCGCAGTGTTTGTGCTGCTTTGTTGTTTATCAAGATGAGTGACTGTGAGATCTCATTGCTTGTTCTTTTGTACTGCATATCACGATGAGTGACTATTAAAAGGTCTCGGTGTTTGTGTTGCTTTACTGTTTCTCAAGATCAGTGACTGCGAGATCTCGTTGCTTGTAATTCATTTTTGTATCTGAAGATGAGTGACTGTCAAGATCTCGGTGTTGTTTTACTTTACTGTATCTCTTGATGAGTGACTGTGAGATCTCGGTGCATAGATTCATTATTGTATCTCAAGCTGAGTAACTGTCAAGATCTCAGTGCTAGTGTTGCTTTACTGTATCTTAAGATGAGTGACTGTCAAGATCTTAGTGCTTGTGTTGCTTTATTGTTTCTCATGATCATTGACTGTGAAATTTTGGTACTTGTGATTCATTATTGTATCTCAAGATGAGTGATTGTCAATATCTGTCGTTGCTTGTGGTGCATTACTGTATCTCAAGATGAGTGACTGTGAGATCTCGATGCTGGTGTTGCTTTATTGTATCTCATGATGAGTGACTAACAAGATCTCAGCGCTTGTCTTGCTTTATTGTTTTCATGATGATTGACTGTAATATCTAGGTACTTGTGATTCATTATTGTATCTCAAGATGAGTGACTAACAAGATCTCGGTGCTTGTGTTGCTTTACTGTATCTCAAGATGAGTGACTGTCAAGATCTCGGTGCTTGTGATGATTCATTGTTTCTCAAGATGAGTGACTGTCAAGATCTCGGTGCTTGTGATTCATTATTGTATCTCAAGATGAGTGACTAACAAGATCTCGGTGCTTGTGATGCTTTATTGTTTCTCAAGATGAGTGACTGTCAAGATCTCGGTGCTTGTGATTCATTATTGTATCTCAAGATGAGTGACTAACAAGATCTCGGTGCTTGTGTTGCTTTACTGTATCTCAAGATGAGTGACTGTCAAGATCTCGGTGCTTGTGATGCTATCCTGTATCTCAAGATGAGTGACTGTCAAAATCTCTTGGTGCTTCTGGTGCAATACTGTATCTCAATATCAGTGTCTATCAGGATTTCGTTGCTTGTGGTGTATCAATATACCTCAAGATGAGTTTCAGTCAATATCTCGGTGCTTGTGTTACTTTTATGTATCTTAAAATGTTTGACTGTCAAGATCTCGGTGCTTTTGATGAACTAATGTATCTTCAAATAGTGGCCGTCAAATTATCGGTGCACGTGATGCATTACATAATCTCAAGACGGTTGACTTTAAGATCGCTTGCATTGTGTTTCTTGTTATGAACTAAAGAGTCCTTCATTTTGATATAAAGGGTGGGTGATGTGAAATTTTGTTTTTTACCGACCCAAGTTTATATTTCTGCTTAAAACCGGTAACCTCGTCAGTGTTTCCTGTAATTTCTTATTGATTTTTATTGTTTGTAGATTTTGGTGTTAAGTGCAAATATGTGGAAGTTTGAATAATCTAAACTCATTTGATTGGAAATAAATTCGAACGATATTAACTATACATTCTTTTGTTGAACAGGTATTTTAGCATTCAGGATGTGGTTAGGTTGCTGGTTCATTGACATGCACCTCACTCCTCCTTTTATTCATACTTAATGTATCAAAGAAACTCTAAAATATGGTTTTGAAGTTTCATTTTCTTTCTTTTTTTTTAGGAAACATTTACTGGTTTAGAGAAGAACACCACACATTTGTTCTCTTGTTAGTTGGGAAATACAAGTTGACGTTGGAAAGGAAACTAAATGCTCTACAACATTTAAAAAACTATTATATATAGTGCTTCTACATGTATGTGTGGGACCCTTAATAACTCCAGCAAGTATCAGCTATTACATCATGTATTAGGAGGATATGATCAACAATATATATATTTGAGGATAAGATTAACAAATCCTAAAAGTCTGAATATTGTACAAAATTGTCAATTACAATATGCACAATATCTTACTTACTATAATATTTAAAGAAGTGTAACAAAGTTTCCAGACGTTTTAAGTCAAATTAAATTCCATTTGTATCTTTCAGTTAGCATTCCTAATTCTAATTGGACATATGAAAAAAGTATTGCTGTTGTATGTGTGTATTTTAAGCAGACAGTAGCCACAAATTAAAATGTATTTGATGTGCTTAAGGGAGTTTATTAATGTTTTATCAAAATTTGATGTTATTGTAATGAAAAGGTAAGGAAAATGTTTACCAATCATTTGTCAATTTGTTATTCTACGAAGACTTTATAACAAAGGAACAACTCTCACCTCACTGCAAGGCCACCAAGTACGATTAACTGAGTTCATTTATTATTATAATATTACTTTTAAATTAAATACGGTATTTTCTTTTCATACGATACATATGTCCATGTTTCGTTTTACCTTGTTAACAATAATGTCCTTACCATAATTCTGATAACACTATATGTGTTTTTGGTCAGAATTCTGATAGACATACTATCAGATTATTACATGGCATTTTTCATATCAGATGTATTATCAGCCCAAGGTTCAATATCAGCCCAAGAGCCGAAGGCTCGAGGTCTGATATTAACCGAGGGCTGATAATACATCTGATATGAAAAATGACATGTTATGATCTTTTTAACATTTGCTTCAATAATGGAGAAAAATAACAGTTTAATATATTGCTCCGTTTAAGTGGTTCTCAATTAGAAGTTCAAAAAGTGAAAATTTTACCGACGTCGGACACCAAATGTAATACATCCGATATGAAATCTTCCCAAACAAAAAAAATTGAGGAACAAATCATGGTAACAAATGATAAACAAATCGTATGATTTCTTTGTGATTTGAAAGTGATAAAATTTCACATGCAAATGAGCTAACAAATCACAATAACAAATCACGAACAAATTGCTTATAATTCATAAGCAAATCATAAACAAATTGTCAAGAAATTGTTTTGAAATCAGTAACAAATCAGAAGTAATTGCTTTCCTTCTTCAAGCAAATCACAAACAAATTGTTTTCAAATCGTAAAGAAATTGTAAAGAAATTGTTATCAAATCTTAAACAAATCAGAAGTAAATCATATTTCTACCCCAAGCAAATCATTAACAAATTGTTTTCAAATTATGAAGAAATTATAAACAAATTGTTTTCAAATCTTTAACAAATGAGAAGTAAATCATATATTCCTACCCCAAGCAAATCACAAGCAAATCGTACATAAATTGGCATCACTCATCATGCAATTCACAGGTTAAATCATTTACATCCAAATCAAAAATATATTCTGCCCCTGAAACCCCCAAATTTTGAAGCGCAGTTGTCTTCATTTTACCTTTAATAGCTACTCATCTAATTGTAAAAAGGAATACTATATTTGATTGCAATGAGGGACGAATTGTTCCCTGTGTGTATGATTCTCTTACTTTTCTTCCGAATTTGACTATAACGAAATTTCAAAAAAAAAAACATAGGCAACCACGTGTTCTTAGCAATTGATGTCAAATAGGTGATGAGTCTTAGTCTTGGTCCAAATCTGCTACATTGTAATATAGCTTTGTCCATTTTGCCCGGGACCTGGTAGTAAACAACAATTAAAACATTAAACTTGCCAGTGAATTTTGTCTGCTGACTCGGGAAGCTAGTCTTGAAATGAATGTTTTGATCTGTTAACACATCTTTTACACATTTTTATTTTGAAAATTAATCCTTACAGCACAAAATTATTATGATTATAACGAGATACTGAAATGCACAGTTTCTGAATTTTAAAGGTTAACGTTTGAATAGTATTAGTTGAATATGTGAAATTATAAATAAATAACTGAAATTTCTTACCACCGTCATCTTTCATAGACTGAATAAAAACTCATCTTGCAACCTTCTTTGTTCAGCTAATATTGAACAGTATTTGAAATTTGAATTTGACCTCAACCGGAAGTCAGAGAGATAGATAAACAAAGAAAATTTGAATGCATTAACATTTTATTCATTGTAGCAAATCATCAATGAATCACACCAAGATAGCTAACAAAGTTAACAAATCATTTTCAAATCATTTCTTATGATATTCAAAGTTAACAAATCATAACGAAATCACACCATTCTAGCTAACAAAGTTAACAAATCTCTTTCAAATCATTTCATACGATATTCTAAGTAAACAAATCATAAAGAAATCACACAAAAACAGAAACAAATTGCTTACAAATCATACAATAGAAAGAAATCACAAAGAAATCAGTTTTAGGGAATTTGGAAAATTCTGATTTGTTTATGATTTGTTTAATGAATCGCAAGCAAATGATACGAACAAATCGCAGAATCACGATTTGAAAGAGATTTGAATACGATTTGAAAGCAATTTGTTCATTTATTTTTCTGTTTGGGTTTCTATCATATGCATCAACAGAGGAGAAAAACAACAGTATAATTATACATTTTTATATTGACGATAAAAAAATATCAACAAAACATAATGGACACTGATTGGAAACGTCAACATTTATAAAGTAACTTTCTGAATTATGCTGGAAACTTTAAAAAATGCATTTACTGTTTCACTTGATTTGGTTGTTTTTTGTTTGTTTTTTTTTTTTTTTTTTGCATTTTACATACTATAAAAAGTAAAATAATTTTCCTGTTTCCTAATAATTGTTGTGTTACTTTGTAAAGTTTTTCACTGAAAACGTAGCGTTGAGGTGTATTTTCCGGAATTTGCCGATAACGCCGGAATGCCATGCGATAACGTTACGGAAAGGCATGTGATAATAATCGGAAGCATGTGATAAATTTTTCATATCAGCCCGCTAAACACCATTTCGGAAAATATGGATTAACGTAAATTTAATGCTATTATCATACTGTAAAAATTATAAGTTATTTACTCTAAGTATATGATAAATGTCAATATTCTTCATGTCCTTTACAGTATTTCTTAATAATGATATGCCAACATTTCAATATACATTTTGTCCTTAACAGAATTCTCAGTGATAAGATTAACAATATAATTCCTAACAGAATTCTGATAACACTTCGAATATAGTACCAGTGAAACCCTTAACGGAATTCTGATAAGACTCACATCTGATAACAATAGCCTTCTTAACAGAATTCTGATAAGACATTCGCATCTCATAACATTAACCTTCTTAACAGAATTCTGATAAGACAGTCGCATCTGATAACAATAGCCTTCTTAACAGAATTCTGATAAGACAGTCGCATCTGATAACAAAAGCCTTCTTAACAGAATTCTGATGAGAATCGAATATAGTACCAATGAAACCCTTAACTGAATTCTGATAAGACTTACATCTGATAACAATAGCCTTCTTAACAGAATTCTGATAAGACAGTCGCATCTCATAACAATAGCCCTCTTAACAGAATTCTGATAAGAATCGAATATAGTACCAATGAAACCCTTAACGGAATTCTGATAAGACTCACATCTGATAGCAATTGCCTACTTAACAGAATTCTGATAAGACTGTCGCATCTCAAAGCAATAGTCTTCTTAGCAGAATTCTGATAAGACTGTCGCATCTCATAACAATAGCCTTCTTAACAGAATTCTGATAAGTTAGTAGCATCTTGTATCAATGGCCTTCTAAACAAAATTCCTATATGTCTGTAGCATCTAAGCTGGTCTTTTTGGGGATATTGTTCTAAACATAATTCTGATAAGATGATTGTTTCTGAAACACATAGTTTGACTTTATCAGAATTCTGTTAAAGCCTCTTAAGTTTAATTTGGTTAAGAAATCAAGGGATCTTAGCAACATTTGGAAACAGTTTACAGCTCATAACAAGTGTTAAAATATGTAAAACTGATATGCAAGTAGTGAAATAGATCTAAGGAGTACAGTACACAGTATGATAACAATCATGTGGCATTTCTTCTTTAAAAATCAACGTTCTTATAGTTGCTAGTTAGAAATTGTCTCCTTCTTAACTTGCCAGATCCAGAATTTGATCATTTGGAAATAATCAAATGAAAATGAAAACTTTTAAGATGTCCGTTACTATTTTTGTTAAAAACGTGCAATCTGGGTACTCGGTGCAATTTGGGTACTTTGACGTTACATGTACGTGGCGATGCTCCTCTGCATTTCTGATCCGGTTGGTGTTGAACGATATCGGTTTAAATCAAGTCAAATATTTATTGATCTTTATTGTCATTACACTAAATTCGTCATGTGACACAACGTTAAGTATAGAAAAAATCATATATATAACTCTATCATATCGGTCTAAAATCTATCTTTTCCCAGTTAAATACAGTACAATGACATGGTGTTAAAAGGAACAATTTAATTAATGTAAATGAACCTACCTCATTAAAACAAATGCTGCTTTCTAAACCAAAAAATTCCCAAGAAAATGAAAGTAAAACCCATTCGCTATAAATAACTTAAAAATACCTTGTTTATATTCCTTCACAGTCGGTAAGGACAAGATGAAATCTCAATGTTTACATTTATTTCATTGTATTGACAGTGACGTAGGACTTTAGCATTGGAAGGAATAAATTCCGCGAGAAAATTGAAAGTACAAAGAAATGTTAATACATTTTTTTTGTAACTACATATCAGTCCCTAGTTGTGCAAAAGTGTTTAAAAATCTCAATTTCCAGGAGTGTAAATGGTTGACCAAATATAGTCATACAAAATGAAACCATGAATAGTGCATTGCGAAGATTTAAAACAAGTACTATCTTTAAAAAAGATATCCGACGCATTTAGATGTGAGCATAGAGTTTAAAACAAACCATGAATCTTTATCGTTTTTTTTATCATAGTTAAAAAAAATGCACACAATATGAAGGCAAAAGGCTAACGATACTGAAAATTGAGTACATGCACTTTTCTATAAAGAATTAAAATATAAACTGCATATGGTACTTATATATATATATATATATATATATATATATATATATATATATAAACAAGTCTAAATTGAAAACAACGTTCAAACCTATGATTGCGTTGGATAAAAACCGCAATTTTCATACGTGTGCATGTAAAACAAATTTCTTGGTAGAGGGGTCTAAATACAGCACAAACAACATTTTTCAAAAGACCAAAAAGTGAAAAAGTATGATTTTAACAAAACACATGTGACTAACAGGTCGAACAAATGATGTTCTTAAACCTTGCTGTCTGCCATTGGAGATTGCCAAATAAATTGATCACCAGATGTAAAAATGGATCTTACATATTAATTAAATATCAAACAGAAAACAATAAAGTTGCGGTAAAGATAACGCAAACATGAGGTGCAAAAATGTGTACACCATATCCGGATTTCGACAATTAATGTCTCTTCAGTGATGTTAGGGATCGAAACGGTATTTGGAAGGCCATATAATTTACCTCAATTTAGGATAGACTCTTGAATTTTAAATATTATAATATTATAAATATTATATCTATATATATAGGTTTTTTTCAGAGATAAAGAAGTGTCTATAGCTGTGATTAGAAACAGACATACACATGAGATATTAGCAGGTTACAATCTGTAATGAATTACAAACTTAAAACAGCTTAGATCCATGAGGAAAGTCAATTATAACTTTATGTCAAGAACAACTAGAGATGCAACCTATTTCGGTGTGTATATCGGAAACGGACGGACGCCAAAGGGAGATGATATATATAATACAGCTTTTGACAAGTAATTAAATTTGCGATACATGTATCTTGACATTCTTTTTGTACTCATTGTGATTATTATTACGCCTTGGACGTTATTTATCTGTTATGAGTTAGCCTTATTATCTTGTTTCTTTTATTTATTTAAAATCAAAGAAATATTTTAATTTAAAAAGTCAGAATGTTAAACCGAATATAGTTGCATTTAGTATACAAGAAACAGACCAAACCATGAAAACTTTAAATTTACAAATGAACCATGAAAATGAGGTCAAGGTCAGATGAACCCTGCCAGTGTGTACACTTTACAATCATTCCATGCATCAAATATAGTTGACCTATTGCTAATAGTTAAAGAAAAACAGCCCAAAACACAAAAACTTAACATGGCGCAATGAACCGTGAAAATGAGGTTATGGTCAAATAAAACCTGCCAGACTGACATGTACATCGTAAAATATTTACATACACCATATATAGTTGACCTACATTGTATTAGAAAAACAGACCAAAACACAAAAACTTAAATATAACCACTGAACCACGAAAATAAGGTCAAGGTCAGATGACACCTACCAGTTGGACATGTACACATTACAATCATTCCATATACCAAATATAGTAGACCTATTGCTTATAGTATCTGAAATATGGACTTGACCACGAAAACTTAACCTTGTTCACTGATCCATGAAATGAGGTCGAGTTCAAGTGAAAACTGTCTGACAGGCATGAGGACCTTGCAAGGTACGCACATACCAAATATAGTTATTCTTTAACTCATAATAAGAAAGATATTAACATTACAAAAAAATCTCAACTTTTTTTCTAGTAGTAACTGAACCATGAAAATGAGGTGAAGTAAAATGGACATATGACAGACGGAAACTACATATTAACATAAGGCATCTATATACAAAGTGTGAAGCATCCAGGTCTTCTACCTTCTGAAATATTAGGCTTTTAAGTAGTTAGTTAACGCCGCCGCCACCGCCGCCGGATCACTATCACTCTGTCTCGCTTTCTGCGACAGAAGTCGCAGGCTCGACAAAAACTGACGTGGTGACGTGAGTAAACATAATCAGTAGGTCACGATTTATTTTCTCGTTATTTCCCCTGAAATGTCTTTTTTTTTGTGTGTGCAAATCTTGCAGTTTTTGGCTATAATCTTGAAAGCTATTAAAGATAGCAAGAAACTTTTAATAGTAAAACATACCTGTATAGGGGTTAAAGGAATTTTTGCCCCTAAATAAACATCCATTATTGGGTTTTCGTACCTATTTTGGAGTAGGGTTTTTCAAGTTGTGGTTTGTATGCTATAGATTGAGAACAACAACGGATAGAGAACAACTTTGAACAGCAACCTTTTCAGCTAGACAGTTAAAATGGTCAAAATCACCGTCACATTCATTAACGGGGTTATTCCTTTTACATTGACATAAAATAGACGAACATAGTATAAACATTTAAGGAATGACTGTAATATTTTTTCTGTCTATTAAGAAATAACATCAAAAATGTTGTGCACACCAAATAACATGCGTAGCGGTTTATTTAAAAGTGTGCACCACATTTTTAAGGTTATTTCGAATAGACAAAAATCATGAAAAAACGTTGATGACGTCACGGTCACATGACAAAATTATGTCTGAGCCGATAGACAAAAAACTTTCAGCCAATCAGAAGACGTGTTACATCCAAAATTAAATTATGTAATTATAAATATAAATAACAATCCGTAAAACGATGAGCACCTAGTGTTTGTTTTGTCTTGGATAACTTCTTATACAAAATATCGCAGATTAAAACGAGTTGTACCACAGTCCTGTCTGTTCAATCATTAAATTGTCCATTGGCCGTAATGCAAATACGTGAAATATGAGATTATGATACATAGCTTATATTATTCATTAAAGTGTCGAAATGATCATTGTTCAGACGTCACATATATGTTACGACTGATCTAAGAATATAACTTTGTGTGCCATAAATCGATGATTAGCAGTCTGATTCTACTTGTTTTCTCTTCCAGTTTTCTTTTTTCACTTTCTTATTACAACTCTTCATATATGAAGCCAAAGCTCCTTTGTCGCATATAATAAATTTTAGCGTATCAAAGTCAAATTTGTCAGGGTGACGATTACTCACGAGAAACTCAGTTACTCCACTTTCCGAAAGTTTTTCAATAATCCCATCTCTTAGTTTCTTCAATGTTTCTTTTTCGTCAAAGGTTGACGGATGTGCCTTCTTTTCATTTTCAATAGCAGCGTCAACTTTTGTTCTGACGAAAATGTATCTTCGCCCATGACTTGCTATTAGATTATTTAAAGCAAGTTCATACTCAGTAACAGGTCCACCACAGCAAACAACGAAACCATCATATTTCTCTATTTCAATTCTTTCATCATACCCCTCTAAGCCTTCGTTTTGTGTTCCAACTCCAGGTACATCCCATAATACAATTGAACAACCAGGAATTTCGAATTTCTCGCATTTTTCTGTACACTCTAGAAAATCTGTCTTAGGAAGATCGCCATTTCCCGGTCCCAACTTCGACTCCACCATAAGTTTGATTAACGACGACTTTCCGCTATTGGACCGTCCTATGACACCTAGATTAAATTTTCCTTGTGACCGTCTGCCATAACCACGATGTCTTCCCTCCGCCATGCTTTATCTGAAACAAAATAAATTAAAAAGAATGTACAGTTTCTATTCATGTATCTGGTATTTATAATTTGTATTTGAATAACTATAACTGACTAATTGGTTGTTACTTGCTTTGGCAAACCTCAGAACTGAAGATGTTGTTATTATATTAAAACTTTCGGTTGTCGTATTTATATTCATTAAGATAAACAAATGATCTCTCAACACATGAGTAACATCAAAAGCCAACCAAACCTTTAAACAGACTTATTCAGAAGGGATATAGTAACGATACTTTTTTCAGGTCATTAACGATGGCATATTTTAGAATAAATATTGATTCACTCATAGGGTCTTTGCATCGGGAATAAACAAGATTTCAAGATTTTATTGTACACTCTGACAGGTTACTCTGTTACAAGAGGCAGATATACATAATATAAAGCTTGCCAGAAGTGGTATAATAACAGAAAAAAATTGAAATAAACATATATACAGGTCAATTTTATATAAGCCGTCAAACACACCGTCACATACGGTTGATTGACACATGGTTTAAACGATCCAAACAAATAGTTGGCACATATCGTGACATATATGTCATATGATTAATTGGATTATAACACACAATTTAAATTAGGTAAGTACTAAACTATTTCTTATATCAAAATCTTTTGGCAAAAACAATGCGACATTATTGAGCACTTTTATATTACAATAATATAGCAAACCAAATAGCTTGTCCTCTGTTGGGTTCAAAAAATAATATCCCGGTATATGTATTTTTCTTATTCTTTCAATATTTGGGTTACAACATACTAGCAGATAATGAAATTAATTTCCAATCACCCCTCTGTCACATAATGTGCATATTCTGTCTTCACGAGGAATATTAACCATCTTCCGGCTTCTATAGGGAATTTCAAGTTTGAACATCGCAGTTTACTCAAGTGTATTCTGCGTTGTTTATTTAGTTTCATCAAGTAGCCTTCAAGACAGAAATTCCTTTTAAATGATAAATATAGTTCCCCTCTTGAGGCACTTTCAGTCATACTGTTTCATTTTTGTACAAATTGGTCTTGTAAGATTTGTTTAACAACATATTTTATATTATTTTTACTAACAATTTCTTGGCTATCCCATACAAACGATAAGCCAACATCATTCAGTATAGATTTCACATGTAATAACCAGATTGATTGATATCCTGAACAATTCATTTCATACAGTAACTTATACATTATACTAGACAGTTAAGAATCATTCGAAAGAAGTTTTACCCAAAAATTAAGTATACGTAGTTTAACATGTATGTCTAGTGGATATCTACCTGTTTCGCCGTACACCATGAAATTTGGCGTTGATCTTCGGACAGAGAGCACCTTCTTTAAAAATTGCACCGTTTCCAATATGTCTAACTTTTCATATCCCCAAATTTCGCTCCCGTATAAAAGTATAGGATCAATTAAAGAATCAAATAACTTAAGCTGTAGATCTACTGGAATAGATATATTCCTAATCTTTCTATATAGAGCATAAAGTGCTTTCTGTCCTTGTTCTGCTAACTTCTTTTTTTGCAATTTCAAATTTCCCATTTTGGTTTAAAAGCAAACCAAGATAGGGGTACGACTCCACTCTTTCAATAATTGAATCATATAGATTAAAATTATCCATCATAACGTACTTTCTTTTAGGGAATACCATCACCTTAGTTTTTTCAACATTTACTGAAGGTTTCCAAATATTACAATATTGTTCAAATACATCTAAACACTTTTGCAATGCTGCTGCTGATTCGGCTCATATTATTGTATCATAAGCATACAATAGAATAAAAAACAACAAAAACATATTCAGGTGTTCTAAAGTTTTTTGTGATACAATTTGAAGTCCTCAAATACCATTTTCACGGAAAAAAGTCTCAAGGTCCGAAAGAAATACAGAAAATAAGAAAGGAGATAAATTTTCCCCTTGACAAACTCCGACTTCACATGGAAAGAACCCTGATAACTCACCCCCTTGTTGATACAAGACTTGATACTGCCATACATATTATAAATAACCTTAAATATCTTTCCCCGTGATATTACAACTTATAAGTTTTTTCCAATTTAAAGTCCCACCCTCCAAACAGTATCAAAAGCTTTCCTGAAATTTACAAAAGTACAAAATAGTTACTTGTTGTTATAAAAATATAATTCCATCAAAACATGTAGTATAAATATATTGTCATTTGTACTATATCCTTTTCTAAATCCGGCTTGTGCCTTTGGTATAGTTTCTATCAGTTCAGCATACTTTGTCAACCTATTATTAAGTATTGCTGTAAAAAATTTACCAAGTGAGGACACTAGTGTAATACCTCTATACGAATCTGGGTTGTTCGGATCATCCTTGTTTTTATATATGGCAATAAGTATCCCAACCGTCCAGATTTGAGGAACTACACCAGTATTCAAAATCATATTAAAAATCTCTCTTTACATAGGCAAAGTAGCATGGATGGTTGATTTAATATACTCATTAATGACCTTATCAAACCCAGGGGACTTGCTGTTTTTTAAATTTTTCACAGCATTCAAAATTTCTTCGTTTGATACTTCACCATTGAGTATATTATTTACAAAATAATCATCACAGTTCGGCAAAATAAATTCGTCATCATCATCATCTGGATGCTAATCAATGTTCAAATTCTTATAATAATCATACAAGCCATCGAGATCAATTTCATCTCTCTTTGACGTAGATTTATTCAAATTATTTAAAATATTCCAGAGCTCTCGTGGTTCGCCTTCAGATGCACTGCGCAAGTCTTTCTCTGCCCTAAACTGAAAGTCATTAAAAGCCTTGCCAATTGCAATCTTATACATGTAAGCCTTACCACGATACTTCAAATCAGCTCGGGATTCATCTGTCTTAGAAAGATAATGTTTTCGCTTTGCCTTAAGAAATTCAGATCTCTTCTGGTGACAATTTTTATCAAACCAGGGTTGAAACACCTTGTTTTGCCTGTTCTGCTGGTTATAACGAACTACATTATCACCAAAACATTTATGCGCTGAATCAATAAATATGCGGTTAAAAAAATCGACAAAATTGTCAATATCTGATTGAAACGTGTCACTTTCAACATTTAATGTGACAAGTTTCTTGAACAAATCTTCAGTGGAGAGTTTATCCTCAACCATTTTAACAAACTGATCTTTCATCTCATTGTTCCACCGAACAGTTATATTTACCATGTTCGGATAAGAATCATTGTTATGCAAATCAGTAGTAACACCTGTTGAGAATATTACATGTAACCTACAATGAACATCTGAGTATAATGGGTCAAAGTCAATGACCTCGAATTCCGACAAAAACACATTTATGCTAAAACCAGTTGTTGGCATGATACGGGTTATGTTCTTCCCATATATTTTATGATGGTATGATACTAAACCCCTAACGGGAGGGATTGTACTTGATTTTCATATGACAAAGACATAATCTTTCAATCAGTTTAATTGGGGTCTGGAGCTGGCATGTCAGTAATTGCTAGTAGTCTTTTGTTAATTTATGTATCATTGCCATTTTGCTTAGTTTCTTCTGTTACCTATTCTGACATCGGACTCGGACTTCCTTTAAACTGAGTTTTACTGTGCGTATTGCTACGTGTTTTTTAATTCTACATTGGCTAGAGGTATAGTGGGAGCGTTGAGAGCTCACAAAACATATTTAATCCCGCCGCATTTTTGCGCCTGTCCCAAGTCAGGAGCCTCTGGCCTTTGTTAGTCTTGTACGTTCTTTTTTTTTAAAGTCTTGTTCATTTATATGTTTCTGAGTTAAGTGTGACGTCCATTTTCACTGAACCAGTACACATTTTTGTTTAAGGCCAGCTGAAGCCCGTCTCTGGATGCGGGATGTTCTCGCGGTGTTGAAAACCAATTGGTACCTTAGTCTGTGTTCTGCTTTTTGGTCGGGTTGTTGTCTCTTTGACACATTCCCCATTTCTATTTTATTGTACGAGATGCAATACTTTGAACAAGTTGATGACTATGTTAGGCAATATGCAAATCTGTGCTACTTGACTTATTTTGATTGAAAATACATATGTCTTGCAAAAAACGAACATGTGGGTCCAAGGTAATAAACAATTTCCCAAAATATGATCTTTGGTAATGCTATCGGGCTTTTTGTAGTCTATATATTTAATATAGATACTTAACGTTACAAATATGTCCGTCTTATGAAAAAATCTTCGATTCGATTCGCTTTATAATATTATTTTCCAGTGAGTTAAAACTATCGTATCTATTATCTGAACACAATTGAAACCAAAACAAAGATTGATATCAACAGGAAATATCTGAAACCATCTATAAAACGGTGACCACCTAATCCTTTATGCTTTGATTACTAGGCTTTTCCGGGGACTAAAATTTTAAACTGACTGTATAGCCCTTTTATATGTTAACAATAGAATTATGACCCTTTGTTCACTATTATATTACTATGAATCCCTAGGAAAAATAAGTCATCAATATTTATTTCATGCATTTTCAGAATAAGAACAAATTAACAATTCATACATATGTAGGTCTCCCTAGTAGGTCAACCGGTATGAAAGGCGTAAAAGTTGGACAGTCAATCGTAAATGAGTGAAGGTTTGATAAGTACATAGTGACAGAAATGTTTGTCTTGCAGCGGCCACCAATAAGGATACCGCAGAGAGTTGTTGCAAGAGCATTTATTGTGCAGAGAGCGTACACTCATCCTACACGATGCATCGGGTTTAATTTCCCCATTCAGACCGAACGTGGTCAAACAGACACATAATTTAGCAAGGGTTTACTGTCGGACGGGAGAAGTCTAGGGATGACTATATTTCTATACCCAAGTCAACCCTCGAGGCTACAGAATGGGTAGTGCAAAAACAGCTACCAAATAAACATCGATTCTATAAATTAATTTGATATACCTATGCGTGACTGTTAGGGTGTCGAACTATTTGAGTGTCGGACAATTGGGGACTCGAACTTA